CTCAGTTTTCTGAGTAGCTAGTACTACAGGCATGCACCACCATGTATAGCTATTTTTTACATTTTTTGTAGAAATGGGTATGGCTCTATTGTTTAGGCTGGTCTTGAACTCCTGGCCTCAAGTGATCCTACTGCCTTGGTCTCCCAAAGTGCTGAGATTATAGGTGTGAGCCACCACACTCAGCCTATTTTCTATTTTTTTTTTTTTTTTTTTTTGAGACAGACTCTTGTTCTGTCGCCCAGGCTGGAGTGCAGAGGCATGATCTCGAGTCACTGCAAGCTCCGCCTACCAGGTTCACGTCATTCTGCTGCCTCAGCCTCCCGAGTAGCTGGGATCACAGGTGCCTGCCACCATGCCCAGCTAAATTTTTGTATTTTTAGTAGAGACGGGGTTTCACTGTGTTAGCCAGGATGGTCTCAATCTCCTGACCTCGTGATCTGCCCACCTCGGCCTCCCAAAGTGCTGGGATTCCTATATTCACTTTGTATAGTTTATTTCTAGAGTCTTGTATCTTCCACATATATAATCATGTCATTTGTGAATAATTACAGCTTGTCTTTGGATGAGACACATTTTACGTAGGAAGATGTGGAGAAATTAGAACCCTCATACATTGCTAATGAAAATGCAAAACAGTGTGGTTGCATTGGACAACAATTGCCAGTTCCTCAAAGTAGTAAAGATGGAGTTAACAGATAACCCAGCCAAGGCTGCAGTGAGCCTTGATTGTGCCACTGCACTCCAATGTAGGAAACAGAGTGAGATCCTGTTTCAAATAAAACAAAACAAAAACATGAAAAAAACACACGACCCAGCAAATCCACTTCTAGGGATATACCCAAGAGAACTGAAAGCATATATCCACACAAAAACTTGTAGATGAATGTTTATAGCAGCCTTATTCATAATAACTACAACAAGGAAACAATCCAAATGTCCATTAACTGGTGAAGGGATGAATACAATGTGATATATCCATACAATGAACTATTATTCATTAATAAAAAGATTTTTTTAAAAAAGAATGAAATACTGATACATGCTACAACATAGATGAATATTAAACACATTCAGCTAAGTGAAAGAAGCCAGTCACAAAAGACCACATATTATACAAATCCATTTATGTGAAATGTCCAGAATAGACAAATCCACAGACAGAAAATACATTAGTGGTTACCTAGGACTGGGGTTGTATATAGTGGCAATCAGGAGAGACAATGATACTTGTTTCTTTTTGGGGTTATGAAAATGTTCTCAAATTAGATGTGATGGTCACATAACTGAATATTCTAAAAGCTAATGAATTGTACATTTTAAATGGGGACATTTTATTTTATTTATTATTATTATTATTATTTTTGAGGCAGGGTCTTATTCTGCCACCCAGGCTGGAGTGCAGTAGCATGATTACAACTCACCAACTCACTACAGCCTCCACCTCCTGGGTTCAATCCATCCTCCCACCTCAGCCTCCTGAGCAGCTGGGACTACAGGCATGCATCACCACACCCAGCTAGTTTTTGTATATTTTGTAGAGATGGAGCCTCACCATGTTGCCTAGGCTGGTCTTGAACTCCTGGGCTCAAGCAATCCGCCTGCCTTGGCCTCCCTAAGTGTTGGGATTACAGGCATGGCCACCTCGCCCAGCTAAATGGGTAAATTTTATAGTCTGTAATTTATATCTCAACAAAGCTATTTAAAGTTTTGGGTTTTTTAATTATTATTGTTGTTGTTGTTTTAAATGGAGTTATGCTTTTTTTTGCCCAGGTTGGAGTGCAATGGCGTAATCTCGGCTCACTGCAACCTCCACCTCCCAGGTTCAAGAGATTCTCCTGCCTCAGCCTCCCAAGTAGCTGGGATTACAGGCATGCACCACCACACCAGGCTAATTTTTTTTTTTTTTTTTTTATTTAGTGGAGACAGGGTTTCACCATGTTGGTCAGGCTGGTCTCGAGCTCTTGACTTCAGGTAATCCACCCAAGGTGCTGGGATTACAGGCATGCACCACCACGCACGGCTAAACTTTTTTCCCCCCCGAGACGGAGTCTCCCACTGTCGCCCAGGCTGGAGTGCAGTGGCATGATCTTGGCTCACTGCAGGCTCCGCCTCCCAGGTTAACGCCATTCTCCTGCCTCAGCCTCCTGGGTAGCTGGGACTACAGGCGCCCGCCACCACGCCCGGCTAATTTTTTGTATTTTTAGTAGAGACGGGGTTTCACTGTGTTAGCCAGGATGGTCTCGATCTCCTGACCTCGTGATCCGCCCACCTTGTCCTCCCAAAGTGCTGGGATTGTAGGCGTGAGCCACCGCGCCCGGCCTAGGCTAACCTTTTTTAAATATAGGACTTTGAAAGCTTAAAAAAGAGGTAAACATACGTTGTTTGGGGGTATAATCTCTAAATTTTTAGAGATTTTAATTTTTTTGTTATACTTTTCTGTGCTCTCCAAGAATATGTATTTTTGTAATTGGAAAATTCAGAAAAGAATAGATGTTACAAAGATGTAGAATTCCAGCCAGCCATGGTGGTTTACACCTGTAATCCCAGCTCTTTAGGAGGCTGAGGTGGGAGGATTGCTTGAGCCCAGCAGTTCCAGACTAGCCTGGGCAACATAGTGAGACCCCATCTCAAAAAAAAAAAGATGTAGAATTCCACCCTTCCCAACACCTGCCACATACCCACAAGCAGCAGCAACAAACCCTCCTGAAAAACCAAGAACATCATTTGAGGGAGAAGTGAGTTGGCACCTGAGTTCAAGGTTGTCTACCTGGATGACTTGTCTGAATAATGAAATGGTGGTAAACTGCAGCTAAACAAGCCAAGGGCAGCTGGTGAGAGGACACTGTTAAGGCACTTGCTTGGGATTTTCACAGAATTGTGATGAACAAAATATTATATGAGAAAGATAATTTTTGTATCCGTGGCCAGAATAATTGAAACAGGTTAGTTAAAAAGTTATTAGTATGGGTTTGAAGTGGTTAATATCTTGGTCAGGATATTGAGTGGGAAACGGAGTGAAGGGGTGGCTCCTAAAATGTTTCAATGACAAAATCCTCAGGGAATAGTGATGACTTAAATGGAATTAGAGATTATACCAAGACACCATACATGTTGAAAGACTAGAAGTTCTCTTAACATGAAAGAAGTTGACTAAGGACCATTTTGACAGAAAAGCAATGAATGTGAGGATATGAAAACTCTATTGCCATTATTTAGAATCAGGATTCCAATGTTTGAATCCTAGTTTCCCTATTTGCTTTCTTTCTTTCTTTTTTTTTGAGACAGTCTCACTCTGTCACCCAGGCCAGGGTGCAGTGGCACCATCTCGGCTCACTGCAAACTCCACCTCCTGGGTTCAAGCGATTCTAGTGCCTCAGCCTCCCGAGTAGCTGGGATTACAGGCATGTGCCACCACGCCCAGCTAACTTTTGTATTCTTAGTAGAGACAGGGTTTCACCATGTTGGCCAGGCTGGTCTCGAACTCCTGGCCTCAAGTGATCCGCCCGCCTCGGCCTCCCAAAGTGCTGGGATTGCAGATGTAAGCCACCATGACAAAACCCCTATTTGCTTTTTGATCTCTGTCAAAATACCCAACCTTTTTGAGCTTCGATTTCCTATATTTTTAAAATAGTAATATCAATTTCTACTTCATAGCCTGTTTTAAATAAATCAGAAAGCACATAAAAGCACTTAACAGGCTGGGCACGGTGGCTCACACTTGTAATCCCACCATTTTGGGGAGCCGAGGCAGGTGGATCACTTGAGGTCAGGAGTTTGAGACCAGCCTGGCCAACGCGGTGAAACCCCATCTGTACAAAGAAACAAAACAAAACAAAAACAAACAAACAAAAATTAGCTGAGTGTGGTGGTGGGCGCCTGTAGTCCCAGCTACTCAGGAGGCTGAGACACGAGAATCGCTTGTATCCGGGAGGTGGGGGTTGCAGCAAGCTGAGATTGTGCAACTGCACTCTAGCCTGGGTGATGGAGCAAGACTCCATCTCAGAAAAAATAAAAAAGAAAAGAAAAGAAAAAGCGCTTAATATAATGCCTGGCACATGCTCTGAAAAATATTTTATATATATGGTAATATTACCATTGGGGGAACTGGTGTGAAGGGGACATAGGATATCCTGGCACATCATTTGAAACTTCATGTAAATCTATAATTGTTTCTAAATAAAAAGTTAGAAAATGTATTAGCTATCTAGTCTGGGAATTGTGTTGTGTCATTGTGCTAATATTTTTCTCACCAAAGGAAGGAACCAAGGACCAGAGACACAAGCAATTTGTTACAAAGAGTTACAGAGAAGTGAAATGAGAATGGAAGTAATTTCTTCTGAATCATATTACCATAGAGCAGCCTTACTGTGAAGGGAGCTTAGAATTAGGGCAGTTAACCACTGAACTTATCTGGGTTTGAATATGTGGTTTGCTATGGTTTATTTCCTGGTTCAACTTGACTCATTCATTCAGATTCAGAATAATAAATATTTAAATGTTTAAAATAATAAGCATCGGCCGGGCGCGGTGGCTCAAGCCTGTAATCCCAGCACTTTGGGAGGCCGAGGCGGGCGGATCACAAGGTCAGGAGATCGAGACCACAGTGAAACCCCGTCTCTACTAAAAATACAAAAAATTAGCCGGGCGCGGTGGCGGGCGCCTGTAGTCCCAGCTACTCAGGAGGCTGAGGCAGGAGAATGGCGGGAACCCGGGAGGCGGAGCTTGCAGTGAGCCGAGATCGCGCCACTGCACTCCAGCCTGGGCAACAGCGTGAGACTCCGTCTCAAAAAAAAAAAATAAAATAAAATAAAATAAAATAAAATAAAATAATAAGCATCTAAAATGATAAGCATTTCCTCCCCATGTACTCTGTGCTAGGCATTGTGGAAGCCCCTCCCATATTGCTTTGAATGCGATCGCAACTAAAGGTTTCTGAATTCTAAGAGAAAGGCACAAAGGAAATTTACTACTGCCACTCTAATCCATTTAGTGCTCACTGTTTAAACATCTTTGTTTTCTCTTAATGAAATTAAAATGTGTGGAACAAATTGTATAGGATGTAGTACCTCCTCAGTGGGGAATTCTTTTGCCTCTACTAACCTGGAGCATTGGGAAAAGCACGGGACTAGGGAACACAGTGGATAAGAAAAAGAGGGTTTATTTTCCTTTATACTCAGTTTACAGTAGTGATTCCAGCAGGATGCACTATTTTGTTCAGAAAAAGCTGATGCGAAGAAACTTGCAGCTGTGGCTGATGACCTTGGGACAGAGTTGAGGTTCTGTTGCATTCTTGGGGCAGTGTTCAGCTCCTGTAAATGCAGAAATAACAGCCCTGAATCAGGGTAACTCTGGATAGAGCTCAGTTCTGTAGGTATTTTTCCCTTTCCCTCCCTCCCTCCCTCCCTCCCTCTCTTAGGTCAGTGTGAGAATATGTCTCTTTAGCTGACGTGAATAAAGAGATCAAATATCTTTGAAAAACTATGAAAGTTCTAGGAAAGGCTAAGGCTTCACATTCAGAATGTCACCTTTACAGGGAGCTTTAAAGGGAGATGGAAGCAGCATAGAGCGGAGAACATGTAAAATTTCACAAATATTTACCTTTATACAATTTTTTTTTTTTTTTTTTTTGAGATGGAGTCTCACTCTGTCGCCCAGGCCGGAGTGCAGTGGCGCGATCTCGGCTCACTGCAAGCTCCACTTCCTGGGTTCACGCCATTCTCCTGCCTCAGCCTCCCGAGTAACTGGGACTACAGGTGCCTTCCCAGCTAATTTTTTTGTATTTTTAGTAGAGACTGGGTTTCACTGTGTTAGCCAGGATGGTCTCAATCTCCTGACCTCGTGATCTGCCCGCCTCAGCCTATCAAAGTGCTGGGATTACAGGTGTGAGCCACTGTGCCCGGCCTTACCTTTGTACAATTTATAGAAATGTATAAGAGGCTTTAGGTAAGAGACTGGCAATTAATTTTTTTAATTGTTCTTTTTCTCTTTTTTTTTTTTTTGTGAGACAGAGTGTCACTCTGTGTCCCAGACTGGAGTGCAATGGCGTGATCTCGGCTCACTGCAACCTCTACCTCCTGGGTTCAAGTGATGCTCCTGCCTCAGCCTCCCTAGTAGCTGGGATTACAGGCGTGCGCCACTACGCCCAGCTAATTTTTTGTATTTTTAGTAGAGATGGGGTTTCGTCGTGTTAGCCAGGCTGGTCTCAAACTCCCAACCCCAGGTGATCCACCCACCTCAGCCTCCCAAAGTGCTGGGATTACAGGCGTGAGCCACCACACACAGCCTAAAAATTGTTCTTATTTGAAAATGAGTCTATGAGGGACATTTTGTCAACCTGGTTTCAAAAAAAGAGATGAATGAAATGAATGGTAAGAATTTGTTTAATGTGCTCATTTCAGCAGCACATGTACTAACATTAGACTGATACAGAGAAGATTAGCATGGCCCCTGCGCAAAGATGACACACAAATTCATGAAGCAGTTCATTAAAAAAAGTAAAGAAATATTTGTTCAAAAATCATTTTTAATTACATAAGTATTTCTCCATTTTTCAGATTGTATAATAAATAATAGGTCTGTCTTTATATACTTTCAGTTTCAGGAATGATAATTCTGAAGAAAAAAGTGAATGGTTCATCACCGATGCAAAAATTAACAAACATGATAGTGGCTAGCAACGTCAGGTAGGTTTTATTTATTAGCAATGTTTTCCCCACGATTTTTTTTTTATGTTTGTTTGTGGTTGAAAAGCCAAACACATTAATTTCCAAGGCTCATTGGCTGCTAAGAAAAATTGTCACTGTGGCCAGGTGCAGTGGCTCCTGCCTATAACCCCAGCACTTTGGGAGGCTGAGGTGGGCAGATTACCTAAGCCCAGGAGTTTGAGACCAGCCTGGACAACATGGCAAAACCATGTCTCTACAAAAAAATACCAAAATTAGCTGGGTGTGGTGGCGCCCACCTGTAGTCCCAGCTACTCAGGGGGCTGAGGTGGGAGGATTGCTAGAGCCCGGGAGGTGGAGGGTGCAGTGAGCTAAGACTGCACCACTGCACTCCAGCCTGGGTGACAGAGCAAGACCCTGTCTCAAAAACAAACAAAAACCCTTTAATTATCATTTGGAAGAGGACTTATTTTTAAAAATGCAGGCCTTAGTACTTACATAGTTGGATGATGCTTTTTGAAAAATGACTTGGGGGACACTCCTCCTATATTTTACACATTTCAGTGGCAGAACAGGATAACAATTCAGACCTCCTGTGTGCTCTGACCATGGACAACACACAGCTCTGTCATCCTCAAGCTGCACTGTAAGTGAAGCTGGGGTAACGGTATGTAGAACAATGATTGGTATTATTTGTTTAAATATTATTTCTTATAAGAAGGCAACAGAGTGCAGTTTGTAAATACCGGTTTAAAAACTCCTTTCTTTTAGAAAGGAGAATGAGAGAAAGCGAAATATAAAAAACACATACTTGTGCTGAACCATGAATGACACCATCACAGAAATATCTAAAAACCACACTGCTTAAAGGCACTTGTTGCAATGTGTAATTCAGCTAAGATGATAATCAAATGCATAGCTCTTGAATACAGAAAAATGATACAAATCCTCCTCCTTTGCTGCCCTTCCCACAGAACACTGAGATAAAACTTATTGAGGCCCAGCTACCAAAGGCAGAATTAGTTGTTCCATATCCTAGGCTAGCATTTGGTACATAGCCCCTATTTTATCATGATTACTGAGAACTGTTAAGTCTAACTCGACTGTGTAGATCAAGACAGTTTTATCTTAGTGCATCCAGTGGCTGAAGTACAGTTGGCACCCTGTAGATTTTGTGTTGTTGCAGTGAGATCACCAGTTACTATAAAGAGCTGATTTGGGCTGGGTTTGGTGGCTCACACCTGTAATCCTGGCACTTTGGGAGACCAAGGCCAGAGGATTGCTTGAGGCCAGGAGTTCAAGACCTGCCTGGACAACATAGTAGAACCACATCCCTACAAAAATTTTAAAAATAAATTAGCCAGGTGGAGTGGCCCGCACCTGTAGTTCTAGTTACCTGGGAGGCTGAGATGGGAGGATCTCTCGAGGCCAGGAGCTCGAGGTTACAGTGAGTCATGATTGTGCCACTGTACTCCAGCCTGGGCTACAAGGCAAGACTTCGGCTCTAAAAAAAAAATTGTTTTTTAATGAAAAAAAGAGCTGATTTGGCTCTTTCTTCCCCCATTTACCCAGAATTGCTTAAGTGGTAGATACTGACAAGGTATCTCAGCAGAGCAGAATTCTCATGGTTTGAGTCAGTCGGGACCAATTTATGTTGATGTGAATTTCTAACTCCTTTGTCATTCTGAGTGTGTCAGCTGAATTCACGTAAGGGCATTCATCAAGGAAGGAAGAGAAATAGCCTTTAGTTTTAACTATTTTATAGCTGAGAAAATTAGACACATACTCCGAGTTACGGGGTCTATTCTGATTTTTATTACTCCTAGAAATTTCATACAGACTATAATCTATCTTGTTAGTAATATCTGATAGGGAATTTTTTTGGAATAGCTATGTGTAGAAACTATTTTATTACACAGAATTAGGAATCTCAGAGGATCTGATTCCTTCGTCTCTAAATCTTCAATGGCATTAAATGCCAATACATTGTCCTTGGTCAAGATTACAACGCAGAAAGGAACAAGCTAATTAACTATTTAGAATTCCCTCTCCTAAGAGACCACATCGACAAAGTGGCACCATAACACAGTTTGGTGTTTTGTTGATCACTTGAGGATACCACCACCATTTTGGAGGCTTTGGGTGGAGCTGGGGATAAAGCCATGGAGGCAGAACCGTGTCGGAAAACCTGGGTTTAGCCCCACTTTGTACTTGGGTGTTTGAGCTAATCGCTTAAGTCACGTAAAACAACAAGACTAATAAAGTCTGGGACACAGACTTTAACACCTCAAGTGCTGCCAAAAGTATTTAAAAGACAAAAGCGAATCACAGGCACCCTTCACCGAGCACCTACCTCCTAGACATCAAGAACCGTGCTAGGTTCCCTACATTCTTCATTTAATGCCAATAACCCCACGAGGCAGGTATCACCTTCATTCTACAAATGGGCCCCACTCCTACCAACTAACTGGCTGATTCAGGATCTGACCCCAGGCCTGCCAACGCTCCCGCTGGCGGATTGCCCGCCTTGTCAGCTCGAGTTAGCAGGACGTGGGAGTAAAAACCCGGCGCCCCAGCCTTCACCGTGCTGCACGAGGAAGCTGGCTAGGCAGGCATGACTTTGTCAGTCAACCGCCCCGCAGCCGGGCCCTGGGCTTTGTTAGCAGCCACTTGGCGAGGGCCCCGGGCGGGTGGGGAGGCGGCGCTTCCTCCAGGAGGAGGTGGGACCCCGGCTCCGCCGACCTCGGAGCCGCCCCGGCCCCGGATCGCCGACGACGTACGTGCAGGCCTGGGGATGGGGCGCGGGCCACGAGCGGCGCGCCCGCCGAGATGGCTGCGGCCTGCAGGGCGGTGGGCGAGGCCGGTGACCCAATAAAGCGGCCGGTCCGCGGGAGGCCCCGCCCGGCCGGGTTCCGGCACTCGCCGCAGGGTCCCGGCCGGCGGCAGTTTGCGCGCCCCCGTCCGCAGCGCTCGGCTTGAGGGCGGCTTGGGCCGAGGGTGTGAGCGCGCGCCGCCGGGCCGGGGCCCGGCCGGGAGCGGGGAAGGCGGGAGGCGGGAGCGCCGGTCGCCCGGGAGCCGCGCAGAGGAGCAGGCGGGGCGGGACGCGGCCGGGGGCCCAGGCGTCCGGGAGCCGCGCCGCCCGCGGCAGGCCCGGGCCCTCGGCCCGCCCCGCGCGCGCGCCCCCGCCAGCCCGGCCCTCCTCCTCCCCGCCGCCCCTCCCGCGCGCGTCCACCGGCTCCCCGGCTCGCGCCGCTCCATGTAGCCCCGGATCCCCGGGCGGCCGCGGAGGAGGGGGCGACCACAAGATGGCGGGTACGTGGCCCCCTGTTCTCCGGGCGGCGGCGGCGGCTCCTCGCGCCCACCCGCCCTCCGCCGCCGCCCTGAGTGGCGGCCGGGCCGGGGCCGGCGTGGGGTCCCGGCGCGGGGAGGCGCCGCCGGGGCGGGAGGGCGGGCGGTGGGGGCGTCGCGCCGGGCCCCGGGGCGCTGACCGGGCCTTTCTTCTCTCTCCTCGGCGCAGACCTCTCGCTGCTCCAGGAGGACCTGCAGGAGGACGCCGACGGATGTGAGTGGCCCGACCTCGCGGTGGCCCGGCAGCCCGCGGGGAGCGGCCGGGGAGGGCGGGCTGCGGCGCGGCCTGGGCCGGGCCCTGGCTGGCTGAGGGGACGGTGGGCGAGGGCGGCCCCGGGCGGGCTGGGGTGGCGATTTGAGGGGAAAATCTCGCGTCCGTGAGGAAACGGCGCGCCCAGGTTCCGCTGGGGGAGGGAGACGCCCGGAGTAACGCCCAAGTTCGCTTTCCGCCCTTCGCTCTCCTCTCCCGGCGCCCCCGAATCGCCCGCGGGCTCGGCAGTGGCGCGGCTGTTTTGGAAGGAGAAGCCGGTGGGGCAGGATTTGAAGTGGGGTTTGGGTGTGTTTCGGCCCCGGGTGTCCCCTTCCCCCGTCCCTCTAGGAAGGAAGAGGCTCGCGCGGGAGGTGTGTTTCCTTAGAGTGGCTCTTCCAGGAGCGCCGGGGGGGCAGCCTGGGCCCCGGTAGCCGTCTGGGCTCCCCGACCCGGTTTTGGGTCGTTTGAGGATGACATACCTGTCATTTTACTTGGGCTGGGAGCAGTTTCTAGATTGCTCCCGATGTGATTCGTGGATTACGGGAAGGTTAGAAGGTGTGGCCTCGTCAGGAATTACTAGGTTTGAAGAGCATATTTCTTTAATGCAGATACTCAGAAATCACCCAGCCCTCCTTCAGTGTTAACAGTGCAGCCTTCCTTTGAGGTACTGAAGTTTTTAGAGAGTTGACGTTTTTATTTTTAAAAAGACAAAGTTTTTGACGTTTCCTGATGGCGACGGAATTGATATTTAGAAAGGAATTTTTCGTCTTATATGTACTTTTCTAAGTCTTAGAAGATAATTTGGGTCACAATAGAAAAGACAGAGTTAAGCAGGTTTGTATTGAAAGAAGTGACAGATTGCAGTTAACTTAAAATAGTTTCTATTCATGCTAATCTTCCAAAATAGTGACCCATCAGAAAAATCAATAGGTTTTGAGATGCATTTTAAAAATGAAGAGTGTGCAAAATGTATAAGCGTAGATCATGGGATGCATAAGGGACCAAGAAATTGTTCTGAGTTGAGATGCTAAGCATAGTAGAATTGTGGTCTGTTTAGTGGAAAGCCTACTGGATGCTGAGATTGACTGTCTAATACCTGTGTAAGTAATTTCAGAGATGGTTGCAGTTTGAAATTACTCTTTTAAATACTCTGTAGTTAATCCTTAACATTGTCTAATGTGCTTCCCTTACTCAGAGTAAACTGAATTTTTAGATTCCTGGTTGTTTTGAGTAAAGTAAAGGGCATTTACTATTTAGATGGATTATTTGAAACGAGTGATTTATCTTTAAATGAACCACGTCCAGACTTTGGTTAAGTCTGTGTTTTTAGTGGGGTGGCTCAAAACAGCTCTCTTAAAGGGAGCAGTACTCATGTAGTGAAGGGCGGCTTTAACATTTTATTTAATGTTTACCGTAAGCCACTTCTCTGCCTAATAGTAAGTTTGAGATATTGTTTAAGGCAGCTATTGATTTCAGATCTCTTGCCAGGTTAGGATTGGAGAAGTGGCCCTGATTATGTTACCTCGAGGAGGGCTTTTTAGATTTATGTTCGACTTCGTGAATAAAAGATTCATTCATTCAGCAAGTATTTATGACTGTCTGGAGCAAAAACTTCTCACTCCTGAAGGATGAAATGCGGTGTCAGTTTCTTCCCTAGCCCCCAACAAGCACAGTGTAGAGGGGAGGGCATACCTGTGAAAAATTCAGCCATGAGTTTGAAGACTCTTCCCGGTACTAGGGATGGAGCTCTGAGAAGGGTGGGCACAACCCATGCCCTCTAGTGGTTTACAAGCAGTTTTGAATCTAGGTGTATAGTACTATTACAGTTATAGACTTGGAGCCAGGCTGCTCTGTTCGTCTTAGCAGTGTCTTTTTGGGCAGACTTGGGCAACTCACTTAACCTCCCTATGCCTCAGTTTTGTCATTTGTAAGTAGACATAAGAAATATTACCTGCTTCATAGAGTTGTTCAGGACTATACGTGAGTTAGTGCCTGTGAAGCACTTGGAACAATTCCTGGTAAACGGCGATGATTATGATTATGTTTGCTGTTACGAGAAAAGAGCAAGGGAAGCTTGAAAGAAGAGCAGAGTAGGAAACACTGATGTTGAACCTTCCAGAATGAAGGTACTTACAGATGCTGCCAACGCTTGCAACTAACTTTTTTTTTTTTTTTGAGATGGAGCTTCACCCTTGTTGCCCACGCTGGAGTGCAATGGCGCGATCTCGGCTCACCGCAACCTCTGCCTCCTGGGTTCAAGTGATTCTCCTGCCTCAGCCTCCTGAGTAACGGGATTACAGGCGTGCGCCACCACGCCCAGCTAATTTTGTACTTTTAGTAGAGACAGGGTTTCTCCATGTTGATCAGGCTGGTCTCAAACTCCCGACCTCAGGTGATCCACCTGCCTTGGCCTCCCAAAGTGCTGGGATTACAGGCGTGAGCCACTGTGCCCGGCTGCAACTAACTTTTTAAAGATTCTGTTTCCTATGCATTTTAATTTAGGGTAAAACAGACATTGAAGACACAATAGTTATTTGCATATTCATAATTTGGTTGAAGGCTTTGTTAGAGTAATTGCTTGTTTTTCTCAGTTACTAAAGTGTTTGCAGGTGATACCTTTACCCAGAACATTCAGGAACAGAGGACCTTTGGACATATGGCCAGTTGAAGGACCACTTCCCTTCTCTTGTGAAGGGAGAAAGAATGAGGAGGAGCACTGGGCCATGGTGCCTGCTTAGAGAGCAAGATGGTTGGTAAGGGAGTGAGAAAGCTGTCACATCCTGGAGAAGCTGGAGAAGGTAGAGGACCCAAAGGTAGAGGAATGGAGCTTGGGCTGCCCTTACAACACGGTTGTTATCTCATGAGCCTGAGTTTCTCTGTCTATGGCAAAACTCCAGAGTATGGAGGCCAATCATCAGCCAAGCTAGGTGTAAGTTGGCCCTTGATATGGGAAGAAATTATTTTCTGGTCAAGCTCTAGAATCTTGGTTGCCCTTCCTAAGTGCAGAACCTGGGCTATGAGGGAAGAGAGAGTAAGTTCTGTTGTGCAGATGATCTAGGAAAGGACCTAGCTGGAGTCTAGGACTGGAAAGAGGGTCATTGCCAGACATTGGTAAGAGTCTCACGTCTTTCGATTTGATTTGTTTTAAGCCCATCTCTGTATAGAGGCATAGAGTTGGGGAGAAGGTTGGTCAAAGACTGACTTGACTGATAACCTTTGGAGGAGAAAAAAAAATCTAATGAGGAAAAAATGGATGGTATTGTATTTGTATATATATCTCAAAAGGTCATAAAGGTAAGTAAATGAAATCATTATCAGGTACTGTTAAATTTAGGAGAATAGGCTGGGCGTGGTGACTCATGCCTGTGATCCCAGCAGTTTGGGAGGCCGAGGTGGGCAGATCACGATGTCAGGAGATCGAGACCATCCTGGCCAACCTGGTGAAATGTCTACTAAAATACAAAAAAATATTAACTGGGCGTGGTGGCGTGCACCTGTAGTCACAGCTACTCAGGAGGCTGAGACAGGGAAGCTGCTTGAACCCGGGAGGTGGAGGTTGCAGTGAGCCAAAATTGTGCCACTGCACTCCAGCCTGGCGACAGAGCAAGCCTCCATCTCAAAGAAAAGTTTAGGAGAATAATGCAGTAAAACTATATGTATTTAAGTTTAAAAGTGATACTTTCAATACTGTATCATGAAATACTTTGAATTTCAGATTGAAAGCAAACCAGTGACTCCATTTGAATATGGTTATCTCAGCGAATTTCAGAGTTGGATAAACCCTTTTTAATTTTTTATATTTAATTATGTACGTTAAGTAATAGGAGACAATACAAAATTGTAGATGTTTAGAAAAAAGTTATTTCAGATTTCTATTTTAGTTTCCAAAGATTCAATTTTGATTCACATTTAAGTTGGTAGATTCCTAAAATGAAATGAGACTAAGATACAGTTAAGATTTGATGAGCTAATGCTTGTAAAAATAATTTCACTTAAGGAGTTTCATTAGAACTTAAACTTTTATCAAAGCAGTATGTTGAATATCATTTTTAAAGAATGGCTATGTAACGCTTAGTTTACAGTGCCTTTCATACACAGGTTATTCTTCACAGCAGTCCTGTGATGTAGGCTATGGTATTCTAATACTAATAAGTAAGTTGACTAATGCCCAAAGGGACTAAAGAAACAAAACTCCTAAGTTTAGATGGGATTTAAACTAGACCTTCTGATTCTAAATATCATACTTTGAATATTATATTTTCTTAAATGGCCCAGTTTAAAATATTGATCAACCCAAACTTGTATAGGCAATTTCTTTGAACTCATTCTTAAAGTACCCTTGCAAATTAATCTGGGATGCTGCATGTGGTTTAGTTTACACCTGGAGAATGATAGAGAGGATGGAGCTTGGGTATAATGCAGCTTATTTAGTCGTTAATTTTTATTTCAGCTGTAACTAAGTATAACGTTGAAAAGTTTTTGAAGCTATGTTACTGAGTATGCCATACAACAAATTTTTTTCATATTGAAGTTTTGGAATCCTTTTACATTATGCTGTTTTTTGGGTTTAAGGGCAGTGTTGAAGTGGAGTGAAGAATGGGTCCAGAACTAACTGAGGGTAACCGCCTAGACCGCACTCTGTGCAGAATCCCAGGCCCTC